CTTCCTCCCCGCCGCCCTTGGGCGGCTTCACTCCACCTCCCATGTCTTGCCCTCTGGCAGACGAACCCTCCAGGCTAACACCCTTACGGTTGGGCTGATATCCCCTCTGTCCGGTCGCATCAGCGGCTTCCTCTTCTGGCTCTGTCCTGCCGGACATCCACCTCTGGGCCTGGCATGCCTGATACAATATCTGCTGGGAATGCGGCCCCTTCCGCGCGGTGCTTTCAGTAGCGCCTCCTCATTTACACGCCGGCGGGCGTGTGCACTACATTTTGTTCACCCACAGGCAGGGCCTCTGGGGTTTTCTTTTCATGTATGGTCACTGGGGTCGGTTTTGTACTGGGTTCGGTGGCGTTTCTTTACGGGTTTATTGTCAGTCACCGGAAACTTGGTGCGAGGGGCTATCTTGCTCCACTTAGAGTAGCCGGGGTACCTAAGGGTCCGGCGCGAGGAAGGTTATTTGGAGACCTGGCCCCTGGGGGCAAGAGGGTACCGGAACTCATTTGGCCTTGGCCGGGTGTTTATTTCTTTACTGTCAATGCGTTGGGAATTAAGGCCTTTTGTATGCCATACCGCGAGGTCCATGTACGTTTTTGAGCCATAATCAATAAACATATGAATTAAAAAAAAAAAAAACAAAAAAAAAGTTTAATGCAGCCAAAGGCTATGAAGCTGTGAAAGTACATAATTGTAGTGCTTCCCACTACTGGTCCTTAATTGCATCTCCTCCATCATTGAATCTCCTGTTCACTGGGCCCTCTGCCATCCAATTTCCCGCTATTCCAGCCCCTGGCCTGCTGCCATCCTCCATTCTCTCCATCTCTCCACCTCTGTCTCCTCCCCCCATTCATATCCCAGTCCTCCTTCCTCCTCTTCCCAAATTGTATCCTCCATCCCACTACTTCCATTGCCAGAGCCCTCACACTCTGGCACTTGTCCAAGGTTGCCTTGCCTAGCTGCAACCTAACTCTTGCTCACAAACTCTCCTAAAGCCAGTAGCCCAGCCTTAGATCCAAGCACATCTGGGAGGTGAAAGTGTTGAGCCACTGATCTTAGGAGGTGTCTATGCTGTTGGTATCTGCTACAGTATAGGATCAGGTGTTCTGGTGTCTGTGGTGGTGGTGTGCTCTTAGTACAACTGCATCTGTCACTAACATTCTCATGCAATCTGCTAAGATAGGAATTGAAGTAGCCATGCCCAAGTCTAAGTTGGGTGACAGTTGCAAGTTGTGGTCTGTGGAGGTGAAAGAAGTGTAGTGGAGGATGCAGAGAAGGTAGGTGGAAGTGGATAGACCTATAATGTCTGCCCTGTTTAGCTGGTTGTAGCTGTGTCCAGTACTGGCGCCAGGCTTTAAGGGCAGACTGCTTGATCTGTGTCTTCAATTTGGTCAGTGAGAGATAACTGTCTATATCAGGTTAGGGATACTCAGCTGCTTGTTTTGCAAGTCTGTCAGCTTCATCATTACCTTGAATACCAGTGTGACTTGGTACCCAATGGAGATGAAGCTGTAAGTCCAGGTCAGAGGATAGAAGGTCCTTTGTAAGTTGTTGAATCTGTTGAGAAATTTGTTGTCCAGGGTGGGGAGAGAGTCTGTGAGAGTTGCTGATTGCTGCTTGGTTGTCTGTGAAAACCCAGATGTGCTTGAAGGATAGCCTGGACCTGCTGGCTTCTGTGAGTGCTCTGGCAATACCTACCAATTCCCCATCATACACCTTCATCCCACATCCTAATCCAACTCTCCATCTTCCAACAATCCCACCACCATGCATCATTACCACTCCTGCTCCTACTCCTCCATTTTGCAGTTCACTTCCATCTGTGTAGAGAACAAGGTTTTCTGAATTGTTGAGGGGGTTGAGGAGAGTAATATGACTTTTGGCTGCAGTGTCTTTGTCTTCCTGGCTGATAGTGATGTCAAGTCAGGAGGTGGTGTCAGGCAGGTTGGTATCCCAGGGTAGTTGCAGGTTTGCGTAACACTGTTCAACATCTTGTCCTACAGGCAGGAATGAACTTAGTGTATTTAATACTCTTATTAGTTGGGTGGGGAACTTAGCTTGCTCAGAATCAGTTTTCCTCCAATCAGCCTGCATCTTGCCATATGGCTCATGCTGATGATTCCACAAGTATGTTCTGTTATGTTGCTTACAGGTAGAAGTCCAAGATATGTCACTCTCAGAGGAGGAGGAGCATGGTCTGTCTAGTGGAATGGATGAGGAAAGGGTCCTTGGGAAGGAGCTGGGTGTTCTCTGCCTGATAGGAGGGTCTGACAGCATCTGTAAAACTCTGTAAGCATATCTCTTACACTGTCTGTCAAGTCTCAATGGAATGGGAAGGATGGCTGCTTCAATCTCCATTGCAGCAGTTGGTGAAGTTCTGAAAGCCTCCAGGATTCTTCTGTTTGCCGCTGCCTGCAACTTCTGTAACTTGTTAGCAAGACCAATTTGACCTTTCCACCAGACCTCTGCTCCATAGTCAGCTATTGGAGTAATGCAGGTATAGTATAGTTGCCTCATTGCTAGTGCTGAAAGGCCCTATTCTGAGTTGGATAATCTAGAAATCATGTTAAGTGCCCTAGTTGCTGCAGCTGTCTTCTGTTTCACATGGTAGTTAAACAAAAGCTTCTTGTCAAGCGAAACTCCTAGCCATCTAAGATGCTGAGAAGGGAAGACAAGAGTGCCATGAGGAAGAGTGACAGGGAAGTTGGTAGTAAAGTCCCTTGTTTTGTTGTGAAAGTGCATGAGTTCTGTCTTGGGATCATCAAATACTATTACATTGTCAGCTGCCCAACTCCAGGCCCTTCTGGCTACTACCTCCAATGCCTTGGAGTTAGCCTGCTCAGAGGGGCCTGTGACTATAAATGCAATATCATCAATAAAGGAGGGGGATCTTAGCTGTGGAGTCAAAACTCCTAGTTCCAAGTCCTTGAACAGGTTTGTTAACTAGAATAGGAAGAGGATGGGTAAAATGGGAAAGACTTGAGGAATGCCTGTGTTGACTGGCAGGAGAGGTTGTCTTTGTCCATCAAAAGCTAACCCCAGTTTCCTGTTGGGGAGGAAGCTGTCTGTCCAGGTAAGAACTGGTGGAGGAAATCCTAAAGACTGCAGCACCAAGAGTAGTTGTGTTTTGCTAACATGGTCAAATGCACCTTTAACATGAACAAAGAGGGCAGAGAGGACTTTACCATTCAACTTAGCCTGCTGAATATCATGTGTTAATGCCATCACTGCATCCACTGAACTTCTTCCTTTCCTTCCTCCCATTTGCTCTGAGTAAAGAAGGCCTTTAGTTTCTGCAATGTAAGCTAGTCTGTTGGCCATTATCTTTGCTGAAATCTTTCCTAAGCAGTTTAGCAGAGAGACAGGTCTATAAGCTTTGGGGTTAGTCTAGTCTGGTTTGTTAGGTTTTCTGATTATAGCTCCAGTTGCCTCTCTCTAGCATTGGGGGTGATACCCTGTCTTCAGTACAGTTTGAAATAACTTAACAAGAGGGATAGGAATTGCATGATACACTTGCCTCAGACAAAGAAAGTCAATACCATCAGGTCGTGGAGCTTTATGAGGTGCAGATTTGAAGATTGCATCTTTTACCTCCTTGTCAGTAATATCATACCAGGGAAAGCACTTATCTATTTCTGTATCCTCAGGGTTGAAAGTTTTTTTGCTTGCAGGTGGATTAGGGAACAGGGCTTGTCTGAACATCATGCACTTACTATCAAAGTCAGTAGCTCACTGTAGGTCACAAGAGAGGGGAGGAGTTTTGAGGGACTTAGTTGGTCTAGTATACTTGACTGCAGTAAAGATATCTTGACCGCTAGCAGAGTTGAGGAAACCCTTCCAACAGTTAGATTTGCTAGACTCCATTGCCGTTACAACCATAGCGAAAGAAAAAACCACACCAAGTTCTTCGCCGGGCCCCCACATCATTGGTCAGCAACGACTCCGTTGCCGTTACAACCACAGCGAAAGAAAAAACCACACCAAATTTTTCGCCGAGCTTTCCCCTCATGGGCTAA